CTCCCTCTCCCTCGTCAATAGATTAAAAAAAAATTGAAGTACTAAGTTACATCCTGTATAGGAGAAAAGCAAACCACTTGATAAAACATAGCCTGTTTGCTATAAAGGTTAATTGGCTTGTAATTTGTAACTGACTCTTAGAGGACTTTTTTGGTTTCTACTACTAATTGATAATATAATACATAGGAATTTTATGTGCCTGTTCTCTTGAAGCAGTATTGCTAGACATAAGTCCTTTTAACTTGACTTCATGGCTCTAAGGCCAAATTTCTATATGTTCTTAAAGCAGGTTGTTAGGAGATGATATTTGAGCTCTTTTGCTGGTGTTAACCATGCTTAATGAAAGATGTTAGAGGTGGTAGGCACATTATACACAGTTTATGAATTGTTTGTTACCCCCAGGAGCCCATTTTAATCACATGACATTCTGAACTCTGTGCTGTATAGAGCTAATCATTAGCGGCCTGTCCTTATAGGCTGTTGACTTGTGAGTGTATGTCAATATGGTAAAATGGTGTCATTATGGCTGCAGATTTTACTTTAATGTTGCTGGAGTGAAATAACTGGTTATGGTAGTTTTCCCTCAAATTCTGTACATGCTAGAGCTGGCTGGAGTCTGTGGCATGCTCATTGGTGAGAGTTGGTAAAGGCTATGCTTTTCTCTCACAGCTCTGTTGTGGGAAAGCTAGTCTGTCCAGCACTCTTGCTCTGAATGGACTGGAGTAATTTAACTTTTGGTATTTTCTCAACTTATTAGTATTACCTAACAAGTGGCTTAAAGATGCCAGGAGCACTAGCTGAGGATGACTCCAACTGCTTCTGGATGAGTAGATGGGAGCTTCTAGCCAGTAGCTAATCTTTCTTCATCTGAATGATCTAGATTGACTTTTAGAAGAGAAACACTCAGCCTTTAATTGTTGAAGGTCTGAATGCAATCTAATTCTAGATTAGACTGTAATCACTGGCCTTATTTATATCAGCCAGTTCAAATGTTGGCTAATTTGGCTTAGCATCTGGCCTGTCCTAACTCAGAATAGAATATAGGTTATTTCACAGATGTTTATTGGAATCTGACTAGTCAGAAGGTCTCCTTAGTCTTCTCAATACTGAGGAATCTCTGCTTGCAGAAACCGAGGGCTCGGAAGAAGAAGATAAAGACAATGACAAGGCTGAAGAAGCACCGAGTGATTCAGTTCTTGAAAACAAGGTAAATTGTTATTTGCTCAGTATCATTGTCTGATTTCTTATTGTAGGACTGGTTTACTAGTTAGTATAGGTGTGATTATTATAGATAGCTGTTTCTGGGTTAGGGGTTGGGGACCTTTTATTCATGCCTAGAATAGACAGATCCATTTGATTCCAGGGGGTCCTGTCTATTAGGATAGGGCCCAGCATCCCTCTGTTAAATATCATTGACAAAGGAGAAACTTTGTAGGGACCCATTCTCTAGGTTTTATGGAGAAAATATGAATTTTGAATCCTATGTCAGTTTTTTTAAAGCCGTACTAAATTCTATATTTAGGTTTGTAGTCAAAAGATGCCTGTCTTTGTACTTCTGCCTAATACCAATGATTTGGATATACTTTAGTCTCTTCAAGAAAATGAAGAGGAGGAGATTGGGAACCTAGAGCTTGCCTGGGATATGCTGGACTTAGCAAAGATCATTTTTAAAAGGTAAAATTCTTCATGCTTCTAAGCTCAGGTTGGGAGCTTGGTGGTTGAAAATAGAAACCAGTTAGGGTTGTACAAATGCTGTTAAGGTTCCTGATCATTTTTTCTTCTTTTAGGCAAGAAACAAAAGAAGCTCAGCTTTATGCTGCACAGGCACATCTTAAACTTGGAGAAGTTAGTGTTGAATCTGGTAATACATTTTCCATTTTACTTTCCCCCTAATATACCCTCACCTAGTCCTTTCAAAATCCTTAAAATCAAGCTTGATCATAAATTATGGGCAGTAGCTTTAAAACTACAATAGGTTTGTTTTCCCTATAGTCCCTAGAATAGTGATTAGTCTTTCCTAAAAGTTACTCTAACTAAAAGTCTTAAGTCATTATTTTTATAATCAGGGGTCACGGAAATACTACAAAGAAGAATGAAACATAATTGGGGAAGCATTCTCCCAGGATGTCTAAAATTTAGAAGTACTATGATATTAAATGCTGTTCATTTTCTCTTTAGAGAATTATGTCCAAGCTGTGGAGGAGTTTCAGGCTTGCCTAAACCTGCAAGAGCAGTACCTGGAAGCCCATGACCGTCTCCTTGCAGAGACCCACTACCAGCTGGGCTTGGCCTATGGGTACAACTCTCAGTATGATGAGGCAGTGGCACAGTTCAGCAAATCTATTGAAGTCATTGAGAAGAGAATGGGTGAGTGAGCATCAGCTGTTTCACGATGATCTTGATGGATCCAGCAATTGACAAGGTAAAAAAAGTGAGTCCTTTTGTGGTAACTTACTGATCACTTCAGCCTGTTTTTTGTAGCTGTACTAAATGAACAGATGAAAGAAGCTGAAGGATCACCTACTGAATATGAGAAAGAAATTGAGGAGCTGAAGGAACTGCTACCTGAAATTAGAGAGAAGATAGAAGATGCGAAGGAGTCCCAGCGCAGTGGGAATGTGGCTGAATTGGCTCTAAAAGCAACTCTGGTTGGTTTTGGTTCCTTTTCAAGTTTTCATAATAGCATGTTCAATATTGTTAAAGGCATCATGGTGTTAGTGTTCTATTTGCTAGGAATCTTAGTTATAACTTGGTTTTCATGGAGTTTGGAGGTCAAAGGGAACATGCGAACTCATCTAGATATTCCTGTCAGGTAGTATAATGCTTAAGAGAATATGCTCTGGAGCCAGACTGGGTTTGACTTCTATCTTTACTATTTACTTTATGTGATTATGGGTGTGTTTACTTTTCTTTGCCTTAGTTGTCTCATCTGTAAAATGGGGATGAAAATAATACCTGTATGTTAAGATACTTCTAATGGTATAGACAAATAGTATTTAACAATTGTAAACTGTTGTTTCCATTTCTGAGAATTCCTCTGTATAGATTAGTGAGGTGTTGAAGGCTTTTAACCCCAGATTGCCTGACTCTGCCTTTGGGTGCTCTGGTGCTAGGGTGTTGGGGTGATAGGATATGCAGGTGATGATAGGATATGGAGGGTTTGATTTAATTTCAACACTCTGCATATGTTCCAGGTAGGGGGTGGCAAGTGGCGGGTATGGGTTAGAGGGGATAGACGATATTGCTGCTATATGGAGGCCACTAGTATTTGAGGTCTTAATTAGTTGCTTTGATGTTGGGTACCTGTTATAGGACTGTGGGTGACCCGGTGGATTCTATCCTGGGACCCACTGGCGTTTGTCATCTTTCACAGGTAGAGAGCGCTACTTCAGGTTTCACTCCAAGTGTAGGAGGCTCTTCAGTCTCCATGGTGAGTATTCAGAGTTTTTCTTGTTATTTTGTGTCTTAATATTAGGCCTCATTCTTTTTCTCATATATAGCTATTCGTGGCTAATAAAGGCTTTTTTTTTTTTTTTTTTTTTCAGATTGCCAGTAGAAAGTCAACAGATGGTGCTTCCTCATCAAATTGTGTGACTGATATTTCCCACCTTGTCAGAAAGAAGGTAAATTTACATGCTGTCATTTCTTTTTTGCTCCAATTACACAAGAAATACCTTTCCTAATACCTGGTGCAAAGGTATTTACAAAGGTGGTAAGGATTTGCAAGTAGGTAGTTTTCATCTCTAGCTGGGTAGCTCAGTTGGTTAGAATGTCGTCCCAATACACTAGGCTTGTGGGTTCAGTCCTCAGTCAGGGCACATACAAGAATCAACCAAGGAATGAATAAATAGGTGGAACACAATCTCTAAAATCAGTTTTTATAAAGATAATTTCCCCTTGCCTACCTCTTGAATCAAAACTCTCCTGGCCCAAGGACTTATCAGGAAAGCTATTGAGGATTGGTTCGATTAGCCCATCTTAAGAAGCTGGCAAGTTTTCATTCAGTCATTTAGTAGCAGACCTTCTGATAATTTAAACCCCTGTGAGTCTGACTTTTGCCTTTGGATGCAGTAGTTTTCTCTTGTGGGAGAGTCTTAACTCCTGCTTTATTTCCTGATTCAAATTTAGGTTATCAAACTTGTGATTTGGTTATTGTTCAGATCTACTCACGCCACCTTTCGTTAGAGAGGCCGAATTGGTATATTAGGGCAGACCCATTTATTCTGTAGGGTGCATACTGGCATCACCTCCTATGGGTAGGAAAAGCCCTTAGAGTTGTGAATCCTGTTCCAGGATTTTTGAACTATGTCGGGGAGGGGGTATTAAAGTTAAGTGTTTTGCAGTTGTCCTTTTAAAAACATTAAGCACGTTTGTGAAGATTTCACAATTATATCTTTAGAGGAAACCAGAGGAAGAGAGTCCCCGGAAAGAAGATGCAAAGAAAGCCAAACAAGAGCCGGAGGTGAATGGAGGCAGTGGGGATGCAGTCTCCAGTGGAAATGAAGTTTTGGAAAACATGGAAGAGGAGGTGGGCAGTTAAGCAGGGCTTAGACCCTTGCCTCATTTCCCCTTGTTCTCAGGGCCTGGGGAAGCTAGTCCTCCCAAGTGCATGTTCCCCACCTTGAGATTGTTTGGATTGCTTGTGTGTAGCACTCATAAAAACAATGAGGTTATTCAAGAAACGTTTGGTATGAAATATAGGACGTGTCACTGACCAATGGAACCTATACATAATGAATGTATGAGACGATAATTAGCAAGACCATTGGGTCACACTTCTGCTTGCTTCTTTCCATGTAATGTATGAACACTGGCTCTGTCAGCCCCATTACAGAGTTTTTAAGAAATTGGCTTTATACTTTGTTCATTGCCCTTTTAGTGTAGGGAGCAAAGTGGAGTTTAGGGGGCCTGTTTTGACTGAGGCCTCCTCAGTTGTATGAGATAGAATGGCTTGAATGAGGGTCACTTATGCCCAGGTTCCCTGTTTATCTTCCAGGCTGAGAATCAGGCTGAAAGTCGGGCGACAGTGGAGGGGACAGTGGAGGCTGGAGCTACAGTTGAAAGCACTGCATGTTAAGAGGGAACAGAGCCTTCCTCCCAAGGGAAAGTGTTTTTGTATATAATGTATTTTTTCACTTTTGGGGGATTCTTTTTGTATAACTTCAATAAAGATTGTATGCAAAGGTTGAGGCTTTGATGGTTTTTTTCTTAGATATTGGCTGAATCTGTGCCTTGGAGCACTTTGGTTTTATATAGTCGCCAAAGGTACTTTCCCCCCCTTTCTGTACTGATTCTGTTGAAAGTTCTAATCCAAATTCTTGTCTGTTTAATGTGAAGGTGATCAAAGCAAGTGTGGCTGCTGGCCTAATGGTGCTATATTTTTTCCGTTCTAAATATTTTCCTGAATCCAGCTGTCTTGCAAACTTTTAGTGGTGCTGTCCCTGGATGGGGGCCTACATAAATAAGACTTGGTGAAGATCCTTGCTCTTTGGTGCTGATACTCTGTAATGGGCTCTGTGAGCTGCTAACAGCCTCTAAGCCAGGCCTTGGGTGGTACCTTTTATTCCCCTACTCCAACTATGGCTATAATCCTGTCTTGGAAAAAAACCTCAGAAAACCTGGGGGAGTTCCGGTCCTTGAGGAAAACTGGTGCTGATCGTAGATAATTTAGCTTTCTTGTCTGAAGTGGCTAAGGGACTGACCATGATGAACACTTTGGGGTGTGGTTGGAAGAATCTGGGGAGGCCAGCTGGTTTAGTTATATTTTCTGTACAAAAAGGTTGAACTATATCAACACTTGGAATTGTTACCCATCTGCAGTTTTGACTTCTCAAATAAACATGGTAAAAAAAAAAAGTTCCTGGTCTGGACTTGTGTTTAAAGATCTTAGAGTGGGATCTTGGGCTTCCTGGAGCATTTTGGTGTGGGATATTGGAGGCAGAGCTCCCTCTGCTGACTCCCAAGTAAACCCCATTTGTCAGAGTTTATATTTTCTCTAAATAAATAATAAAATAAAATGGGGAGTTCTTCTGGGCTGGTTACAGTAACTTGTGGCTGCAGAATCAGGCTGTGAACCTCCTTCCCAAAGATGCCCTTCTATTAAAAGTCCTGAGGCTTTTTTGGGGGGGGG